GTTAATACAGGATAGTGTTGGATTGATACAGTATGGTGTTGGATTGATACAGTATGGTGTTGGATTGATACAGCATGGTGTTGGATTGATACAGGATGGTGTTGGATTGATACAGCATGGTGTTGGATTGATACAGTATGTTATTGGGTTAATACAGCATGGTGTGGGGTTAATACAGGACATTATTGGGTTAATACAGGATGGTGTTGGGTTGATACAGCATGGTGTTATTGGGTTAATACAGGGTGTTATTGGGTTAATACAGGATAGTGTTGGATTGATACAGTATGGTGTTGGATTGATACAGTATGGTGTTGGATTGATACAGCATGGTGTTGGATTGATACAGGATGGTGTTGGGTTGATACAGCATGGTGTTGGATTGATACAGGATGGTGTTGGATTGATACAGGATGGTTGGATTGATACAGGATGGTGTTGGATTGATACAGCATGGTTGGATTGATACAGGGTGGTGTTGGATTGATACAGCATGGTGTTATTGGGTTAATACAGGGTGTTATTGGGTTAATACAGGATAGTGTTGGATTGATACAGCATGGTGTTGGATTGATACGGTATGGTGTTGGATTGATACAGTATGGTGTTGGATTGATACAGTATGTTATTGGGTTAATACAGGATGGTGTTGGATTGATACAGTATGTTATTGGGTTAATACAGCATGGTGTGGGGTTAATACAGGACATTATTGGGTTAATACAGGATGTTATTGGGTTAATACAGCATGGTGTGGGGTTAATACAGGACATTATTGGGTTAATACAGGATGTTATTGGGTTAATACAGGGTGTTATTGGGTTAATACAGGATAGTGTTGGATTGATACAGCATGGTGTTGGATTGATACAGGATGGTGTTGGATTGATACAGCATGGTGTTGGATTGATACAGGATGGTGTTGGGTTGATACAGTATGGTGTTGGATTGATAAGGTATGGTGTTGGATTGATACAGCATGGTTGGATTGATACAGGATGGTGTTGGATTGATACAGGATGGTGTTGGATTGATACAGCATGGTGTTGGATTGATACAGCATGGTGTTGGATTGATACAGGATGGTGTTGGATTGATAAGGTATGGTGTTGGATTGATACAGCATGGTGTTGGATTGATACAGTATGGTGTTGGATTGATACAGCATGGTGTTGGATTGATACAGGATGGTGTTGGATTGATACAGCATGGTGTTGGATTGATACAGTATGGTGTTGGGTTGATACAGCATGGTGTTATTGGGTTAATACAGGATAGTGTTGGGTTGATACAGTATGGTGTTGGATTGATACAGTATGGTGTTGGGTTGATACAGCATGGTGTTGGATTGATACAGTATGGTGTTGGATTGATACAGGATGGTTGGATTGATACAGGATGGTGTTGGATTGATACAGCATGGTTGGATTGATACAGGGTGGTGTTGGATTGATACAGCATGGTCTTGGATTGATACAGTATGTTATTGGGTTAATACAGGATGGTGTTGGATTGATACAGTATGTTATTGGGTTAATACAGCATGGTGTGGGGTTAATACAGGACATTATTGGGTTAATACAGGATGTTATTGGGTTAATACAGGATGGTGTTGGATTGATACAGTATGGTGTTGGATTGATACAGGATGGTGTTGGATTGATACAGCATGGTGTTGGATTGATACAGGATGGTGTTGGATTGATACAGCATGGTTGGATTGATACAGCATGGTGTTGGATTGATACAGCATGGTGTTGGATTGATACAGTATGGTGTTGGATTGATACGGTATGGTGTTGGATTGATACAGCATGGTGTTGGATTGATACAGCATGGTGTTGGATTGATACAGTATGGTGTTGGATTGATACAGGATGGTGTTGGATTGATACAGCATGGTTGGATTGATACAGCATGTGTTGGATTGATACAGGATGGTTTGGGATTGATACAGGATGGTGTTGGGTTGATACAGTATGGTGTTGGATTGATACAGCATGGTGTTGGATTGATACAGGATGGTTTTGGATTGATACAGGATGGTGTTGGATTGATACAGTATGGTGTTGGGTTGATACAGGATGGTGTTGGATTGATACAGCATGGTGTTGGATTGATACAGCATGGTGTTGGATTGATACAGGATGGTGTTGGATTGATACAGTATGGTGTTGGATTGATACAGCATGGTGTTGGATTGATACAGGATGGTTTTGGATTGATACAGGATGGTGTTGGATTGATACAGCATGGTGTTGGATTGATACAGCATGGTTGGATTGATACAGGATGGTTTTGGATTGATACAGGATGGTGTGGGATTGATACAGCATGGTTGGATTGATACAGCATGGTGTTGGATTGATACAGCATGGTGTTGGATTGATACAGTATGGTGTTGGGTTGATACAGGATGGTGTTGGATTGATACAGCATGGTGTTGGATTGATACAGCATGGTGTTGGATCGATACAGTATGGTGTTGGATCGATACAGGATGGTGTTGGATTGATACAGCATGGTTGGATTGATACAGCATGGTGTTGGATTGATACAGCATGGTGTTGGATTGATACGGTATGGTGTTGGATTGATACAGCATGGTGTTGGATTGATACAGCATGGTGTTGGATTGATACAGTATGGTGTTGGGTTGATACAGTATGGTGTTGGATTGATACAGCATGGTGTTGGATTGATACAGTATGGTGTTGGATTGATACAGTATGTTATTGGGTTAATACAGGATGGTGTTGGATTGATACAGTATGTTATTGGGTTAATACAGCATGGTGTGGGGTTAATACAGGACATTATTGGGTTAATACAGGATGTTATTGGGTTAATACAGCATGGTGTGGGGTTAATACAGGACATTATTGGGTTAATACAGGATGTTATTGGGTTAATACAGGGTGTTATTGGGTTAATACAGGATAGTGTTGGATTGATACAGTATGGTGTTGGATTGATACAGTATGGTGTTGGGTTAATACAGGATGGTGTTGGATTGATACGGTATGGTGTTGGATTGATACAGCATGGTGTTGGATTGATACAGTATGGTGTTGGATTGATACAGTATGGTGTTGGATTGATACAGTATGGTGTTGGGTTGATACAGCATGGTGTTGGATTGATACAGTATGGTGTTGGATTGATACAGTATGGTGTTGGATTGATACAGCATGGTGTTGGATTGATACAGCATGGTGTTGGATTGATACGGTATGGTGTTGGATTGATACAGCATGGTTGGATTGATACAGGATGGTGTTGGATTGATACGGTATGGTGTTGGATTGATACAGTATGGTGTTGGATTGATACGGTATGGTGTTGGATTGATACGGTGTGGTGTTGGATTGATACAGTATGGTGTTGGATTGATACGGTATGGTGTTGGATTGATATGGTATGGTGTTGGATTGATACAGCATGGTGTTGGCTTGATACGGTATGGTGTTGGATTGATACAGTATGGTGTTGGATTGATACAGTATGTATGTGAAGTTTATAAATATATATTTATATAATAATCTAAATGAATTCAAAGATACTAGGGGTCGTGTATAAAAATTATCGCCTTTGCTTTCATGTTCAGATTTTTTCCTGTCAATTTTATCATTGATTACACTCACAAAATAGGTCAAATGAGTAGAATTACCAAGAAACAAAAAAGAGACAATTGCAGCTAGAAGGATTTTTTATTCCTTATAAAAAGGACAAACCTGACAGCTGTTTACCTGACATGGAAAATCTCACATTCTGACACTGGCAGAAAAAATGTCAGAAAGAAAAAGTGCACTTTTGTATCTGTTTGTTTGTGAAGAAAACAGGAACCAAAATGAAACAAAAAGGTAAAATGAGGGAAGAGGCGCAGTAAGGAATATTTTGGTAATAAAGGAATAAGATAAGTGCAAATAGAAGGGCCATATAAACATCCTAAACAGTGCATGTGACAATTGTTATTCAGACGCCCCGTTTCATAACGGGAATTATAAAACATGTTAGGGTCACTATAAACACCTAGAGAACTTTAGCTTAAATGGACACTATAGGTACCCAGACCACTTCAGCCCCTTGAAGTGGTCTGGGTGTAGTGTCCCAGTCCTACTTGGTCCTCCAATGTAAATTATTGCAGTTTGTGAGAAAACGCAATGTTTACATTGCACGACTAAAACTGCCTCTAGTGGCTGTCAATTAGACAGCGACTAGAGGCACTTCCTGCATGCTTGGCGACTTTTGGTCACCTGACGTTGGACATCCTCACGCTCTGCATGAGGATATCCAGTGTCAGAGAAAACCCCATAGGAAAGCGTGGCAGCAATGCATTTCCCAAGTCGATTAATCTCATAAGAGCAGGCATTAGGTTGATAGAGTAGGACCTGCCAAGAATGGGGTACATTGACGTTGTGGCAGCTTATGCGATGCATGATCATATAATGTAATTAAACCCCCGTTATTTTTTGCCTAGGTGAGGTCTTTTTTAAATAAAACTATTACATTCTGTGAGACTTGAAATTGCTGTTTAGTGAATAAGCGAGTGCGCTGGATCTTGTATGTTACATTTATTAAATATGCAATATATACATTCTAATTCATTTTTACTGTTCCTCCTTGTTCCCCTCAGTTGGTCACTTCTCACTTGATCTGTGGATAAAATCAACTTTTAGTGGCTGTCCCCCTAACCATCAATCATATTTAGTTTGTGCCACGGGCGGAAATCTGAATCCCAAATCAAACAAACGTGCTTCTTCATTGTGCAAGTAATTTGTATCATGATTAGTCTATATTATATTTCTATGTTAGTCTATACGGCAGTTTGGAAATTGCGAAAGACCTCGACATTTATGTTTAAAACTAGCAATTTAATATTTTAGGGCTAACTAGCCAAACTGGAAAAACAACTGAGTTTTGGGTTGAATTCTGAGTTTAATTCTTTTATCCTCTCTCCACAATCACACATGCTACGTTGCTTTTATTTTTTGCCTCTTTAATTCTTCTGTCAGGCAGCAAGGAATTGTGCAGGAATGCTATTTAATATACATTGTTAGAACATTTAATATACATTACGACCAGGCCCGGACTTGCCATCAGGCCGTTAGGGGAGATCACAGGATCTCCCGCGCTATCCGAGCGCCGGCCCTGCTGCATTCCTTGAAAGGCCGGTGGGGAGATCTAAGATCTCCCTCACCGGCCTACATGTAGTATATTGCGGCCGCCACCGGGGGAGAGAGGGAGGGAGACAGGAGAGGATTCCAAAGGAGCTCTATCTTGCAGCTCCGGCGGATCCCTCTTGCGAGATCCGGAGCGCCCCGATATCGCGAGAATGAACTCTAGCCTCACAGACTACTGCAAATACTGCACATACACAAATACTGCACCACTCACATACACACTACAGGCTAGAGTTCACTCACCACTAGCACCACCAGGGATGGCAGCACGGTCCCTCCCTCCCAGACTGAAGGTAAGAAGGGAGGGGGGCATATATGTTTTTTTGTTTTTTTCTCCCCAACACACAATCCCTCCTAACATATAGACACACAAAGCCCTCTTAGACACATCACACTCACACACATCACCCACACACGCAGCCCTCTCAGACACATCACACTCACACACAGCACACTCACACACATCACCCTCGCACACATCACTCTCACACACATCACCCTCAAACGCAGCCCTCTCAGACACATCACACTCACACACAGCACACTCACACACATCACACATCACCTTCTCACACACAGACATCACTCTCACACACATCACCCTCACACACAACACTCTCTCACCCACATTACCCTCACACACATTACCCTCACACACACATCATCCTCGCACACACACACACACACACACACACACACACACAGCTCCCTCTCACACAAACAGATAACCCTCACACACACACTTTACCCCTCACACACACAAACTGCATCCCTCACACACACACGCACAAATACTGCACCCCTCACATACACACTACACCCCTCACATTCACACTACACCTCTCACACATATCCACTGCTTCCTTCACACACACCCACTGCACCCTTCACTCACACACAATGCATCCCTCACACATACACAAAGAACCCCCCCAACACACTACACCACTCTCACACACATACACACAATACTTCCAAACATATATATATTATTATTATTATTATCGCCATTTATATAGTGCCAACAGATTCCATAGCGTTTTACAATTACATGAGAGGGGTTTTTAACTATAAATAGGACAATTACAAGAAAACTTTACCATCCCCTACACACACACTCTCTGCAGTCCCTAGTCGCACATGCATTACATTACACCACAAACACAACACAACTAAAACCGACCTTATTAAACAATACCACACCACAATCAGCTCACTCTACACACACGCAATCCCACAAGCAGGCTCCAAACACAGGCACAATACTCTTTCCTGGCATTTTTGTCTCCTGGCATCCCATTTATAGAGACACCAGGGAAGGTTGCAAGGAAACACAGTGCAAGCATGTTATTAAATTTGCTTGCACTGTGCAGAACAAATACAGGGCCCTTTTCTCATGCTAGAGCTCTTCAGCAGAGCTCTGTGCATGGTCTGCCCTGGAAGAGCATTGAACCAACATGCTCACTTTGAGAGGGGGCGTGTTTGTCATTGGTGATGACAAAACACTCCCTCTCTGCCCCCTCCCCCCCCCCTTCTTAGTGGGCCGAATTTAGTGAGTTGAATTTTATTCCCAGTCCAGCCCTGGTTAGGACATTTAAAGGATCACTATAGTGTCAGGAAAACAAAGCAGTTTTCCTGACACTATAGTGCCCTGAGGGTGCCCCCACCCACAGGGTCCCCCTCCCGTGGTGCTGAAGGGGTTAAAACCCCTTCAGCAGCTGACCTTATTCCAGCACCGGGCTCCCTCAGTGCTGGTGACCTCTCCTCCCCAGCCGACGTCAGTTCCCCCGTCCGACGTCACAGGAGCGGAATGCGCATGCACGGCAAGTGCTGCGCGCGCATTCAAAGAGTCCATAGGAAAGCATTTTTCAATGCTTTCCTATGGACGCTCTGCATGATGGAGGCATAATATGCCTCCAACATCGCAGATGCGCCTCTAGTGGCTGTCCGGAAGACAGCCAATAGAGGCTGGATTAACCCCAAATGTAAACAAAGCAGTTTATCTAAAACTGCTATGTTTGCATCTGAAGGGTTTAAACCTGAGGGACCTGGCACCCAGACCACTTCATTGAGCTGGGTGTCCCTTTAATATACATTGTTAGGACATTTAATATCGATTGTTAACATTCCTCACCTTGGCTCCACGTTATCTTGTCCTCAGTAACCGTCTAGTTTTGATGATTTTCCTGGAGGTTACTGGTCAGTGGGAGAATAGAGAAGATTAAGTGGTTTTAAAAATAATGGAAAGGAAAAATCAAGGTGAATTTTATCAGGAGCCAAATGGTTGTCTGCCTGGGGGGAGAGGGATAATCCTAACTCATTAAAAGACACATAGTAAGG